GCCAAGAATCCCTTTTCTACTAGAATCCCTTTTCTCCAGACACCTCACATCCAGGCAAGGCCGAGAAATCCCAGGGAAATCCCTCTGCACTCCCGCAACAGGTTAGGAAAGAGCTGTCACTGCCTCCGTGCACTGTGCAGCTTAGAAGGGGACACGAGTCCTGGGTGGATTGCTCTGCCAGCAGAATAAGCAAATTTAAATCTGGGATTTCTTGTTTCATCTCATTCATTCTCATGAAATTACTCATTCAGCAGTAACTTCATCTGCTTTCCTTGCAGGGCACCCAGAGGTGCACCGTGTAGTGAGAGGACAATAGTAGTAGTCAACACTACAATAGTAGTAGGGAGAGGACAATATCCCAGGTCGTTCATTGCTGGTGGCCCATTCACAGAATCACAGAATGTTCAAGGTTGGAAGGGAGACCTTCCTTCCAACCCAACTCCAACCCAGCTGGCTCCTTTGGGCCCAGCTCACTCAGTCTCTCCTCGTACGAGAGATGCTCCATTCCCTTCATCATCTTTGTCACTCTATTCGCTGGCCATATGTTGCCAGATCTTGGAAAAGAGAAGCTCTTTGGTGAATGAGAGAGGATTTGGAAGGCGTTTGGGCCTCACCCTAACAAGCCATGGTGGGATGAGGAGCCACGGCCAGTGAGGGATGGACGAGGGGACAGGCAGAGTGGACCCAAGGGCCGCGGCTGTTGCCACGTGCTCTGGATGGACACTACGTTGTTCCAGAGGGGCACTACGTTATTCCCGGCGTGCCACGGCGTTCGGGTGCTTGTGAATAACGAGCAGAGCCAGTCTGTCCGGCGTGCCTGTCCCCCAAGGCCGCTGCCCTTTGCGAGGGAACGGCGCGTCCCGTGGCGTTTGGCAGCCGCGCTCCCAACCTGACGCAGGCGGCTTGGGGGGGCCGGAGCCGCCGGGAATGACTCATTCCGCCTCGGTGGCTCCGCGAGGAGCTGCAGGGAGAAGGTATTTTTAACCAGGCCTTTCAGGTTCAGTGCAGCAGCGTCTTCGGCGGGAGGAGGGGGGCGGCCGGCGATGGCTGAAGAGCTTTTGCTTTACAGATTACCCCCTCATTGCCCCCAGACCTGGCCCCTTTCCCAGCCTTTTACCCGGCTCTCCGGGTCCTCAGCTCCCAGATTAAGATGCTGCCGATCACTCTTCATTTCTCCGGAGCCGACCGTCAGTGTCATCAGGGCGAACAGGCTCGTTCTGCTCTAGTTAGCGGGCTCGAGCTGGCTGCTGCCGCGCGCTGACCCGTGCCCGTGGCACGAGCACCTCGCCTCTTCTCTTTGCCTGCCCGCGTTTGCCCCTGACTTGGCATCAGGACGAGCTCTTTTCACGGGTGTTCTCAAACAGCCGCGCTGCCAGCAGCTCCCACCTAACCCTCCCGGGGTTTCTCTTGTATAGGAGTTAGCGCTGTAATTTGTAAATGTGTAGTTGTTTTGCTTCTGATCTTTCCATGCGCTCCTTTCCTCGCTAGGTGCTTCAGTGACTCCGTATGTAAAACGGAGATAATGATACCCCCTGGGTTAAGCACAGTGTGATCTGCAGCTATAAAACACCGCCTAAGTGGTAGTATTATTGCCACAGAACAATAGGAAATCATATTGCACAACGGTGGAGGACAGCGTGTGTAGAAGAAAATATTTACTATGAACATATGCCGCTTTGTATTGAGGTAACTATGGCCCTTATCTCGAAGCACATTAGCATTTATCAGACTTATTGAACGTTATGTTAAACTCGACTTATTCAGGTTGTCTGTTCTGCGGAATGGCTTTTGAATTCAAAGCCACATGGGATCAGGGATCCTGCAGCGTGAGCGGTTACCCAGTTCTCCCTCCGTGTGCTAAAAACCATGGAGCAATCAGAGGGCTCCTGTCGTTCTGCAGGCTCCTGCCCTTAGGTTAAATGCTTCATATTGGTCTCTTCATCTTGTTCTCTTCTCCTTCCTTCATATCCCTACTGCTGCCATTGGCGTTTCACGGTGTGTAACCGGTGCACAGTTTGATGAATATAAAGTCCCAGCTCCTCCTTAAGGCACTTAGACCTGCAGTTTCTTTAGTGTTCTCTCTTCTGGCAGTCCTGCATCCCTACGCGATGGACCCTGTGCCATACTGGCCTTTTTTACAGTGTATTGTGTTTATAATTTTCCTGCAGATGCTGTACTATGAATAATTCACTGGTCTTCGCTTTTGGCAGTTTACTGAGGGGAGAATCTATCCTGCATGAAACCAAACAGTGCTGAGAGGATCATTTCCTTCCCTGAGCCCGGTTATAGGGCTGAGAGGACTTGTAAATGCGAGCTGCTCCTCGTAGCCTTTCCCCACTATTCTGGGTGGTAGCTGCCTGCTGCACAGTAGCCCCCAGTGCCCCAAGCTGCTGCCTTCTCTTCCTGAATCCGAGTTTCATTTTGAGAAACACTCATCTTGAGGAAACGGGCTGTATTTTAGGCACGTGGACGGTCCTCTCTGTTTTTTTTGAGCAGTGAAAGAAGGTGGGTCATGGCTGCGAATACGGCGTCAGCTCTGCTCCCTGTTTCCTTCTTCAGCAAAATTTCAGGGTTGATCAAATGGTACCCAGGGCTGTTGGTTTATCCTTCCAGCAGCTGCCTGTTCCCCGTCCCCCGTGGTGCCGCAGGGAGCTCCTGGAAGCGCGGGATGCAGACCCTGGAGCGGGATCCCAATGAGGGGCCCTCTCCGGCCACGGATCCCACCTTGGCCACCGGATCCCAGAGCAGCGAGGGCCGGGAGCGGAACCAGGAGGACGTGCACTCGTCAGAGACTAAAAGGGATTTACCTCCCTGCGCTTCCAATTGCTTGTTTTGTATCTGGGGAAAATCCCTTTTGACAGCCCAGGCAGAGAGCTTCTAATTCCTGTCTCCGGCTCATTTTTCACTTCAATCCCTCAGCGAAAGGATTTTAATGCTTGATGGATTCAAACAAAATTATTTCTGTTCCTGTGGCTTTGCAGAAGCCTCCAGGGGGTGTGAGTGTGTGTGTGCGGAGAGACGGGGCTTGTTTTCGCCGCGCTCCGCTGAGCCTCCTCGCCAAGGGGAATGTGCTGCATTCCTTCCCTTCGGACCTTCCTGCTGCTGGTCCCTCCTGTGCCGGCCCCTCGCTCTGGGCTCGCAGTGGAGCCCACCGTAGATCTGCTCTTCCTGGGGCTAATTGATGCCGTGTTCCAGATCAGGGTCCTGCTGCACATGGGAGAACAGATAACACGGATTTGCTTCCAGGAGGAGCACTTGGACGGGAATAACGGGGGGAAAACTTGTGTCTTGTCCAGCTCTAGCTGGGAAGGAGACCCCAGCAATCAGCAGCCATCCATGGTAAAGGCTGCTGTTATTCTAATGGAGAAATATTGCTTCTTATTCAATTTCCAGACGCTCCTACCAGCGGAAATCACTGCAGGGAGCAGGGCAAGGGCTCTGCTTGCATAATATTCAGGAATCAGCCCAGATTTGGCTCACGTTGCCACCGTGTGTTTCCGCTAAACCTCTTCCACAGGGCTCTTGGCTCTGGGAAGCAAAACTGTGTAAGGGCCCAATACCCCGTCTTTGTGTCCAAGCCAAAACGTTATCGGAATAAAAGTTAACAAAGCCAGAGTTCTGTGATCCATGGCTTTGAATGGATCACATAATACTTAAAATGGGTATGTTAAGAATCACCACTAATCTCTGAAGGTTTTACAGAGTTGCTCGGAGCTGGGGATGTCTCTCGGTGTGCAGAAGTGCTGTTGTTGAGGGTGTCACGCTCAGCTGGGGATGCCGTGTCCAGCCTACGTGGGTTCCTGTACTCTGCCTGTTACGAGGCTGACACTTGCTCAGGCAAAGAACTCGGCTCCCGGGGCTGGCAACGCGCTGTCTGCTGGTGTCTGTCTCCAAGGACACCCCGCGGTGCCCACAACCCCACGTGAACACCCCTTTATAACGGGCGACGGGCACCGTGTGCACCGCACCGTGGTCACAGGGCCAGCAGAGCCAGGGGACTCCGAGATGCTGCCTCTTACTCTCTTCTGGTTTACACATCTTCATGTTTTTTCAAATTCCCAGTTCCTTTAATTTCACCTCTTTTTCATTACAGGTTTCGTAATTCTCTGTTTTGCTTTGGTTAAGTGCACTCTCTACAGACGAGAAACCCTATTTTATTAGTGTGGTTTTCTAATTTGTTGCATCAGAAACTATTAGCTTACATCATAAAGTCAAAATTATATACAAATTTTATCTTGAAGTTCTAGCTGTAAATACATTAATAGCATTTCAGGAGTGACTTACTTCATTTAGTAAGTGTGTTCTTGCTTGTAATTGTATATTTATCTCACCCTTGACAATAATCCCCAAACTTTGGAGACGAGGATGGTAATTTGAAGTGTTAATGAACTTGGGAACGTTGCTAATAAAACCACAGAAGTCCTTTTGCTAGGGGAGGAAGCTGATTTACGGACCAGTGGATCCTGTCTAGCCTGAAAGCTTCAGCTAATTATCACTCCAATGACACAAGCAAGTCCCTTTTAGAATATCTTCACATTGTAAAAAAAAAATGACTTCTAGGTGACATTTTCCAAAGGTGCAATACGTAACTGACCTGGGCTTGTTAAACAAGAAGAAAAAAGGGAATTCTTTAATTTTCTACCTAGTCTTTCTGCTGGAAAACGTAGAGATTTTGGAGTGGCAGTATCTGGTTAGATAACCCTGTGCATTGTCACTACAGCAAGGAAGTAGACAGAAATAGTTGCAATAATGTGGAGTTCTGTACTCTGTCCTTGCAGTCACTCTTCTGGATTACTTGTGCTGTAACAATAACTAATAATGTTTATTAATATTTTGATTGAATGTCTTTCCAAGTCCCCAGCGCTCCATTTGACAAAGGTGTGAGCTGTGAATCCAGCTGGATACCAGTCGGATTAACTTGCTACAGATCAAATTATCTCATGCATATTAACATATGACTGTACCTTTTTTTTTTTAAAACAGCATTTCACTATAATTACAGTTCTTTGACAATAACAATTATATTAATGCTGTTTCCCGCCACGTTGTTGGATTGAGGAGAGTGGAGGCTGGGAGTTATCTGCAGTGGCAGGACAGAGCGTCAGTGCCCCAGAGAAAGGATCCTGACATTTTCTTCTCTTTCACTCACTATCTTTTGAAGTTAGTTGGTGATTCCGAGACCACTAACACTTTCCACCATGGAAAAAGGGGTGACGTGGCTGGGTTCTTTCAGCTGGAAAACCATTATCAAACCTCTCTTTGATTTTCACGTTCTAATAACCTTCCCATGTGCCACTCAAGCCTAAGCCCTGCCATGCCTTTGGCACAAGAATAATATTTTTTGCTTCTACTCTTACGTATTTTTTCACTCTCCTATTTACTCAGCAATCTAGTCTCTATAGACCTTTAAAGATATCAAGTTCATCAGTATAATCTCTACATTTTGCCTTCACTTGCTATTTTTTTGTTGCACATTGGGTAGTTTTTGGCATCGTACTGACTCGTGTGCCATTGCCCAGCTTAATAAATGTTTTCTCACATTTCATTCAAATGAAAACGAAAGGAAAATGAAAACCATTCCGATGTTTTGTTTCCTTTCGAGCGGGTTGCATATTAATTTACTGCTGTAGCCCTGAGCTTTCCTGCTCTGAGCCGTCTACCTGCGCTAGCAGGGCGGTCAACTCAGTGCTGTGCATCCTGCTGCTTGCAACGTTTGCAAAGCTGCCCGGGCCGTGACCTTCCTTGCATCTTCTCCCATATGCTGCTTATTTTCGTGGTCCGTCCTGCTTGTCAAAGCGTGTTTGTGATTTTACGTGATTTTGTGTTTGGGCTTAATATGCCCTTCTGTCTCCCGTCTCTTTCTTGCTGTATTTTGTGGTTTTGTTCCATTTGTGGCTGTTCACACGTACCCCCGGAGTGGATGATGACCACAAATTGGCGCTTTGACCTTCAATCAGTCTGGAAATTTGGGGAGAGGAAGAAACAATTCACTAAAAAGAGGCCAGGCCATAATTCAAATGTACAGCAAAAATCTTGAGGCACCCTGGGAGAGATCCCTTAAAAATCTTTGGAAAGGGAAAGAGTCGGCCAGTCACACGCATTGCCAGGGTTGCACTTTCCTTTCTTACATTCACCTAAAAACCCATAAGCGACGCTCATTTTTAACATGGAGCGCAACATCTCATAGTTTACCCTTTCTCAATAAGTTTTCACTGCCTGAATTGACTGAAACCTCCTAAGCATTTCAAGCGCATCGAGATTAAGTATTAGGAATAATAAAGCTGCCTTCTGGTTGTCTGCCTGCTCGCTGCCGTGTCCATGGCTGGAACATGCTCCAGGCTGGGCTCTTGCAGTAAAAAGCAGGAAAATGGTCTGTTTTCCTCAAGTCTTCCCCCAAGTAGCCTGCTCCAAAGTAAGGAGTATAAGGTGCATATTCCAAATGCAGTCGCTGCTGTTTACCTGATTGCAGCACCTAATGAAATCATATTGGTGGAGAACAGAGTGGAGGCCGTCGGAGTAGCTGATCCCAGGAGATGGGCAGGCAAATGAGCTGGGCTCTTAAAGGAAAGACCCTTTGGGGCACTGCCTTGAGGAGAATATTTTTGAAAATTAAAAGAAGTCAGAAAATGAATGGAATCACCCCCATGTGCGTTACCCGGCCCTGTGCCCGTGAGCGCCGGGGTCGCTCGCTGCCAGGGCAGGGACGTGGCGAGCCGAAGGGCAGCGAAGGACAAGGACAGCGAGCGCCGCTTCCCTCCTCACGGTCTCCCCGGAAAGCCAGGACCGAAGCCGGGACTGCTGCAGGGCGTAAATGAGCGGATGCTCTTCCCGCTTCGCAGGGAAGCACCGCAGGGCACGCAGCTCCATCCCGGCTGTCTGGCCCATTGCGGATCACAATTTCCCCCAAAGTTTCTGCTACTCTTTTTAGGGGTTCTGCAGATCTTCTCGCCTCCCTCCGCGCGCTGTTTGCTCCAGATCCCTTCCTGCTTTGACGGCAGCCTGGGCGAGGGCTGCGACGCCGTGTGCGTTTGCCAGCCCCGTGCACAGCTCTAATCCTTCTAATAGCTGCAGGTTTTCAGTTTAAGGCTTTTATTCATATTCCATCTTAATTGTCAAGCACTTCAGCAGTATCCAAAAGCCTGTCTTACACAACATCCTTATCCATACTTGAGTCCTTCAGAGCCCGATGTCAGGAAGAAGCTCTCTCTGATCTGCCTCGTCTGTCAGCAATCCTTGTACCTCCAGTGGCACAAAGCCGTTAAAAATTTACCATCTATTTCGAGTGTTTAAGTGCAGGCGCCGTGTATTTTTAAACATCCAGCTTTATTAGGAGGAGTATGACTTGCTGTCACGTACAGATTTAAGTGATGTAATTAGCAGAGCTTCCCATCTTCTAGGAGATCTCGTAGGCAGATCTAAATCATCTGGAAAGTGAAAGGCGCTCTAGGAAATAGTTAAGACAGTTCAGGCAGTGTCGGAGCTGCTAAAATCCTATTATGTGTTAGGTCGTCTGAGCTGGGGTCAGAGTGAGGAGCAGGAAAGTAAGGGGGTTGGGAAAGGGGTGGGAGAGGCCGGGAACGGGTCTTGCCGCAGCCGTCCTGCAGCGGCACCGAGCAGAGAAGGGAGAGGCCCTTCTGCTAATCCATAATGCGCCTTTGTGAGATGTGCTGCTTAGATTTTAATTCGTTGCAGATGATCATCCTCTTTCCTATTATACTGCTTCGGTTATTTCGGGCAGCTGCCAGCTCCGCCAGCGCCTGTGCGTCTCAGTGAGGAGTGGAAGCGAGCTGTAAAACCAGCAAACTGGCGTGTTTAGAGCATGAGCCTTCCTGTCCGTCCGTCCTAAGGAGGTTTTGAACAAGAGGTGGGTTCAGCTCAGACACAGCGTTGAGCCTGAGCGAAGCCCGGAGCGTCATCGAGCCTTCCTGGGAAACAGATGCAGGAAGCAAACAGGTTTGATGAATTTGTTAATAGGCAGATAAAGGAGAGATGTGAACCTGGGTGCCCAGTGGCAGGTATGAGCCTCACCTTAACTCCCCCCTGGAAAAGGACATAGGGCCTCTGCATCTGCCCTATACATTGAGCAGTCACGTGCAGAACCTCTTTGCTGCAGCTCCCATGTCTGCTGCCTGGACAGCTTTTTAGGAGCTTTTTTTCTGCTTTGTATCTAAATAGGAAATCTGAACTCCAAAGACTTCACAATGACTTTGGAAAGCAGGTGTTACCATCTCCACGTTGCATGGGAAGAAACTAAGGCCCTGAGCAACAAAACCCACCTTTCCTGCAGGTTCTTTCTCTTTATGGTGAGGGAAGATGGCAGAACTAAGCAGTGATTCAAACAAAATCCCAGGCAATCCGGGTGGTCATTAGCTCCCTGTTTGACACCAGCTCTCTGCTTATACACCAGTATATGTTACCTCCCTGCAAATTGGGAAGAGGATTTTTGCCATTGCACTGACTTTGGGTCCATCCCTTTAATTTGCTGAGATGAAAAATGGTCCAATGATTGTATTTCCATGCAAAAATTAAATCATTTGTAATACATTAGACAAAACTACTCATTCTACATGAAATAATTTGATCCTTTAGGAAGTGTCACCTTTACTAAAATGAAGTGGAAATGCTTCTCTAGACATTTAAGACACATATCCACATATATCTATTATATAGATATCTATATATCTGTTCCCTAGATATTTAGATATTTATCTAAGTATCTGGTGAAAATTACTAAAAAGCTGCAGTATTCAATACCATTTTATAATTCCATTAATGAGATGTTTCTAGATCAACTGCCAAGATGCAGCATCCCTCTGAAACAGGGCACAAGAAGCATTCTGCAGTTCACTTACTTGGAGACCTGACAAATGACTTTGCCTGAAATTAAAGGCGGTGTGTGGGGCAGAATGCAACCACTCAAGTATGCTCATTATTTATGCAGCTTATTTAATTATTCTGGACATCAAGACTTAAAATCTTGCATAAAAAAATATAATTAAAAGCAGATGCTGGGTTACGGCTCCTCGGTGCCCGTGTGAAGATGCTGGTGCCGGCGATGCCCGGCCGCGCGGCAGGAGCCTCTTCAGGCAGTCACTGGGGTTTTGAGGCAGCTCGGCTACAGAAACACCGTATTTATCCTTCCCTGGCATCCCACCCTTGACCCTCTTCGCTTGTGTGCCTATGAGGGCCGTAATTTTTCATTTGCAAGAGAGTATTGGCTGCTAATTGAGACCTGGGCAGGCCTATTTTGCAGCTCATACATTTCCTTGCTGCCTGCTGGCCCGACGTGCCTCTCTCCGCAGAGCTGCCTTCCACCAGAACCTTGCCGGTTCCGTTGCCATTATCAGCGCTCATTAGCTAAAATATCTGAACCAGAGCGAGAGCAGCTGCCCTGGAGATAACGAGTGATTCACTCGCGCCGATCCCCGGTGAATTGGGCCTCGCTGCATTTGCTTCGCACTCGGGGCTGTTTGTTGTATAACGGAGTTCCTGTTGTGTAACTGAAGCCGCCTCAGGATGGGAGCTCGCGCCGTAGCCGGTGCTAGGGAAAGGGCAGCGGATGGACGGGAGCAACTGCTTTTATCCTGGTTTTACGGGCAGGACTAAAGCGATGTGAGGATTGGTCTGTCGGCATTTCGACCTCTGTTAACATGCATTTGAATTATACCTTTGAAAGAAACTGTTTCCTATAAGAAACACAAGATGTTTCTGCACAGTAGAGCAGCTGCAGAGCAGGCTTCTGGGCAGCAGCGAGCAAAGCAATTTCCTTGGTCTTGTCCTAAAACAGGGCTTTGCTTCAAACCCAGACCGCAAGTGCTCAGCTCTCCCTGATGCTCTCACTGAAGCTCTCTCTTCCCCTCCTTCTCCCTCAAGCTCATTATTTGGCAGGTTTGCGGGGGGGTTGTGGGTTTTTTTGCCCATATTTGGCAAAGATAAATAGGTTGTTAATCAGCAAGAAAAAAGTCGGCTCTGTACCTGACAGTCAGGGGACCTTTTACACGGGGTGAAGAGTCCACCTGTGTCTGAAGGAGGCCGTAACCCTGGCTCATACATCAGAAAGCTGGAGCACACTCGGCCTCATACTTATTTTATTGCATCTGCAGAACACCTACATGGGCTGACAAAAAGATTTGCTCTTACCCTGGAGTCCCTTGAGAACAACAAGTTAGAAGGTAACTCAATTTTTTCTCCTGCAACTCCTCCAGGACGGGTTGCTGGTCTCGATTCCAGTCCACGAGAGGCGGCCACGTGGAGCAATCCTTTACGTTATTGTTTGATGCCTTGATGCCGTCGGGCACGGAGCGGCAGCAGCGCCGCCGCCAGAGCCGTGTCCGTCTCCCTGCAGGGATTTTCAGAGGAGTTTTTCCCAGCGCTCAGGGATGTCCACGCGGGGAGACTGGCACGTGCGAGCGGAGGTTTCGCAGCAGGTACCGGAGGGTGATGCTCGGCACTGTAGAACCTGGGCGAATGGAGCCTCGCTGCCTCCGAAGGGGCTGGGAGCAGGAGGCAGCGAGGAGGGAGTCTGGGAAAACTGGACTTTGTGCGGAGCTTGGAAGAGGGAAGGCTGCGTTTCTTCCCAGGAGTCTGGCTGAGGGCAGCCCTTACAGCTCAGGGAGCTCAGCCCATCCGTCTCCTTGGGTAGAAGTTTCCTTTGTATCTTCACTGTGAGGGTGCCAGAGCCCTGGCACAGGCTGCCCAGGGAGGTTGTGGAATCTCCTTCTCTGGAGAACTTCCAAACCCGCCTTGATGCTGCCCTGTGCCCCATGCTCTGGGTGTCCCTGCTGGAGCAGGGGGCTGGACTGGATGATCTCTAGAGGTCCCTTCCAACCTCAGCCACTCTGGGATTCTGTGGGATTCTGTGATTCTTTCACATTACTTGGTTGGAAGAGCTCAGGAGGGGCTTGGGCATCATCTCAGCGTGGAGCTCGCTCTCCTGCTCTGACAGCACCGGGCTGGGAGCAGCCAGAGGTCGGTGCCCTCATCCACAGAGCAACAAGCAGGAGGGCTTGTTGCTTCCCTCTGGAAACCTTCCCGCCTTCCTTGTGAGGACTGCTCTGACCTTTTCCCTGCCCCGCTATGCCTGGTGGGCAGAGCTTGGTCTTGTTTCTGGTGAGTCCCAAGCTATCAGTATACACAGGCAGCTTCGCCTTGCTTCCCTGCCCGTTTTCTTCTCCACTTCATCTTTCCCAGCCATCTCGAGTTTCTCCAGGAAAATCCCCTTTTCCCTGTGGTCCTTCCCTCCTGGGTGCCGTTAACTTCCCCGCCGTTGCTCCTCCTCCTCCTCTCCCATTCCCAAGGCGGGTGCTCCCGTGGCCTTTCCCCCTTCCATGACCCGCAGGCACGAAGGGCAGCTCTGGGCGCCTGGGCATGCGGGGGGCCGCGGGCGCGGGGATTACGGCCGCAGCGATAATGCCTCTGTAATGCTGCCGGGATTACTGCTCTCCCGCCGAGCAAGACCTGAGAGCAGGACCAGCCCTCAGGCAGGCAGGATCCCCAGCTGTCCGCCTGTTTCCAAGCTCTGGAGGAGGACCGGCCAAATACAGTTTGCCAGAAGAACAATATTTGGCATCTCTATGAGCGCTGGAACAGGCCGTGTCTCTACAACCCTTTAACAGGGGTGGGGAGAGAACGAAGGGATGGGAAAGGCTGCAAGTGAGGGCTGGACGGTCCATCTGCAGTGGTGGGGCAGGTTCCTGATCAGCATCCCGGCTCTTGGGCCAGTCCAGCTTGGATTTTCGCGGCCTTTGGCAGGCTGCGCCACGTGGTTAGTGCACTGCCCTAGGAGCTGCTGTTCTTGCAAGTGCAGTGAGAGCAAAGGGAGAGCCAGAAGTGCCGCAAAACCCCGTGGAGCCCGGCCCTCACCACCAGCAGCTTTCTGGAGACGCACGGCTTTCCCGCGGGCATTTCTCATTCATTCCCAAACCTCTTATCCAGGCAGCTCCCTTTAACTGAGACGCGCTCCCCGGTGCTCAGGGCACACCATTAAACTCTGAACAACAGGTTTTGCTTTTAAATCGCCTCTACAAAAATGAGGGCAAAAAAATATAATCTGTTGAACTCTTACCCCCAAACACCCTTGTTTTGTGCACATTGTGCTGTCTGATACGCTGCTACGGGCAGGCAGGATTCGACACTTGCAGTATTTACAATTACAAGGCAGGATCAGATACCCGCCTCCCGTCGCCCCGGGCTGGTCGCTGCCTCCGGGGAGCCCCTGGCAGGGGAAGGACACGGAGCCCCCCCGGCGCGGCCGGGGCCGAGTCCCACGGCTGCCGGTGGCCGTGTCTGGGGAAGCAGCGAGCACGTTACATAATGTAATCTTTGTGTCTTGAGGATTCTGGCCTGTCCTCTTTTGTGCTGCCAGATGGAGCCGGGGCCCGTCTCTCCCCGGGGAGCTGCCGTGTGCATCTCACAGCTCAGCAGCGCTGGAATTAGGGGCTGCGCGCGGGCACTGCCCTCCTCAGCACGGCCACGCGCCCGCTGCCGTCCCCATGATAATTTGTCCACCACAGGAGATAACACGAAGAACCTCAAAAATTAAATTATCTCAGCTGCTGCCTATTCTGTCACTCTGTTCTGTAACAGGGCCCTGTGCTGTTGCTGCCCCTGCTCCTTATCCTGGTCCCTGAGGTGCCCTCCGAAGGGAGGAATCTGTCTGCACAACGAGTCCCCTCCCGGGAGGGAGGCACCTGCTCCCAAGTCTGCAGCGCGGCGATGATGGAGACAAGGAGCCACCAGGCACCTGTTGACAGCGATACCACCACAGGAACAGGTCCTCAGGAACAGCTCAGCCGTCTCGAGGAGCTCGAGGGCCGCGTTCACCCTGGCTGGGCAGGAATCCCTCACTGCGGTACCGGCAGCGTCTCCAGGAGCATCACTGCATCCCAATGGAGATGCTTCCGGCCAGGCATGGGCACCTGCTCCTTTCCATCTCCGGCTGCCACTGGGCTCCTGGCAGAGCTCCTGGCTCCCTTTAGTGTCCACAACTTCTCTATCAGTGCAGGTGCTAAAGCCAAGGCTCGTGCTCATCGGCCACGCTGCCCCTGGATCACCTTGTGCTTCGGCATCAAACACAGCAGATTCTGCAGGGGACGAAGGAAAGGAAAAGGCTCCTTGGCTGTAACCGGAGCGGGAGCAGCGGGTGTGCAGAGCACAGGCAGAATGCGCCGCGCTCACTGCACGCATGGCCATAGTGCGGGTGCGAGTGGGGACCTGCTGCCGGAGCCCTGTCCCCACCGCAGAGCTCCTCCACGGCAGCCCCTGCCGCGCATCCAGAGCCAGGGTCAGGGTCTATTCCCACCGGAACATGTCCTGAGTGACACCGCTGGCTGTTCCTGTGGTTAAAGAGAAGACTGTTATTAACTTTATAGCCCTGCTATCGCCCCTTAAACAGCCCTCTGCTCGACCCCTGCTTTCTAGATACAAATCTGCTTTCTAGATACAACCCCCTTCATGGTCACAGCACTGTGCCCTAGGAAACCTCGGCGCCGATTTTGGAGGTGGGAGTGAAGCCCCACGGTGCCCTCACACAGAGACCCTCTTGTCCCAAACCCTGGGACACCCCGGCTGGGGGGCAGCTTGGAAGGCTCTGGGTCCTGCCCCGGGTCCTGCCGTGTCCCTCCCCGCTCTCCGGGGCTCCCGCAGGCTCCGCTCTGCCCGCGGGGGCTCCCGGGGCTCGGGCGGGGGGGACGGAGCCCCCGGACGC